AGATAAGTAAATAAACATACACATGACAATGTGGGACAGTGCAAGGCCATGTAAATCAGTGCTCTGGGTTCAATCACCACTGCTGCAAAGAGAGAGAGAGAGAGGGAGAAACAGAGGGAGAGAGACAATGTTTTAGTCTCTTCTAGATATTATACTCTTTGGAGTCTATAATTCAATTCATATAATCACAGTTCACTGGAGTGAGCTTATTGGCAGTAAAAGCTGTGGCCCAAAAGTGTCCCCCTGAAATTCCTGTGTTGAAACCTAATCTCTAGAGTGGTCTTATGAGAAGAGATGTGTTAAGGGGGTGATCAGCAGATGAGGGTGGGGTCCTCAGGATGGGATGTCTGTCCTTGTAACAGGAGCCCCAGAGAGCTGCTCTGGGCTCTTTCACCAAGAGAGGGAGTACGGAGGAGTTATGGTGTGTGACAAAGTACCCTTCTCCAGACGCTGAATGGGCCAGCACCTTGGCCTTGGACTCTGCAGTTGGCAGTATTACAGTACAGCTACCTGGATAACTCAGCACAACCGAGACTGTAATTACTATTGTTTGCATACCCAGTGTGGTACATGGAGCGTAGGCTTAACTTCTTGGAGAGTAAAAGAATGAGTGAATGAAGACGTGCATTATCCTGTGTGTGTGACCCCACTTCTGAATTGCTTGCAGGGACACATGTTTAGGGAATCATTCTATTGATGCAGGGATGTGATCAGAAAACATGATGAATGCTTAACTGGAAAAAATATTACAGTGAAAGACACACTGCCATTAATACCCCTCAAAGTACTCGCCTCATTTCAAACACTTGTTCCATCACTCTTGCCCCTTTCTGAAGCACTTCTGGAAGTCTTTCTTCTTGTCTTTACAAGGTATGATGAAAAGTATGATGAATGCTGCTGCTGAGTGCCATCCAACAGAAAAGCAGACTCCTGAAATTATTACAGTGTGTGCTCATCTACCTTATTCAATAGCTCTGGCATCCTGTGACTTCTGGTTCTTCCTCAAAGTCAAAATGACCAGGAAAGGTAAATGTTCTGAATCATTCCAGACATCGAGGCAGCTACGACAGTGCAAGTAAACACCCTCAAGAGGAGGAAGACAGCACTCCACCCTATGAGTTAGCCGTCCTTGGAAACCAGTCAGAAGGGAAGCCCTGTTAACTGCTTCAGATGTATCTATCAGCTGTGTTGCAGAGCTTGGGCTTCCAGATTTCCTGCTCTTGCAGCTGTGGTGCACCATTGGACATTCAATGGTGATGGGGAAAGAAAGACACAGAGGGCTGGAATGGTTGCTGACTACGTTAGGGAGGAGCACCCTCGCTTCTGAAGGGCACCTTCTCCATCCCATCCCTTTCTCCGATTTCACTCGGAATCTATTGGCTCTTCCATGGAACGTCATCTTCTCTTGATCTCTATGGAAGCCTGTCCAGTGAACTACCTTCCTAATTCACATCTGAATCCAGTCCCCACTTACTATTCAACAATGTGAGCTGACTGTGGCCTCCCTAGTGTGCAGAATCCATCTGTGCATTAGAGACTGTCTTCAACAACTGAAGTCCAAGTGCTTTATAAGTTGTATTTTTGTGTGTATAGATGCTGCAGAACAAAATTTTCTTACAGGTTTTTTAAGAGGGGATACAGAAGGTGAGCTTTCAGAAGATTGTAACTCAGGAACCGGCCAGGGTTCAATGTAAAAATACTTATGATTAGCAGTCATCGAGGCTGTCAGAGTGACACCTTTGTGTAATTTGCCCAAATATATGTAATATGAGACTTTATTTTACTTTTTAAAATTTATTGCCAAAGGTGCAGTTTCTGAGCAACTCTGTACTGCCTGTGGAGAAACAAGGGCAGAGGCTGCTGATCCCTTGGTACTAGAATCTCATTCCATAGAAGCCATCATGGAGCAAAAGGGGAAAAGGGAAGGGGCTTGAGATGGAGAGAAGAGGAGGCAGAGGAGAAAAACCAGAAGGAGGTATTGAAGGGAAGCTTATTTCCTGAGCATAAAATCACTCCAAAGATATCATGAGCAGCAAATTAAACAATCTTTCAGCAAGAATTTTGACAAGGAAATTTCATTGGGGATTTAAATCTCTATGGAAGCTCAAGTTGCTGTATTAAGATATGAAAATTGTGCAAATATTGTTCCTTAGAATGATGTTTGCCGCAGGTCATGAGTTTCAGTCAATGAAATTTAGAGTGATAAATGTCCTTCTGGAAATAAGCGGAGGAGGCAGGGCTCCAGGAGCACAAGGAGAGGGCCTGACGTGGGGCGCTCAGGCCCGAGAGTCATTTGGAAGGGAAGTGAGGCTCCAGTCTTAACTAGCTGAGCGACCTTGAGCAAGTTTATTTAGCATCTCTGAGGCCTAATTTCCTCATCTATAAAGTATAGGCAATTTCCAGCCCACTCCCTGTAAGCCTGCAATCTTGAAGATTTAATATAATGCATCCAGGTAAGCCCTCTGGCACAGTCCCTGGCACATGTAACACACGAATACATGTTAGCAGTGATTACAGTGATAAGTAAGGGAGGTGGGCTACCATTTATCTGCCTTTGACTCTTTAAGTGTCTGTGACAGATGTCTATGGTTTTACTTGTGACCATGCTTAGGTGAAAACCTTGAGGTTTAAGTGCTAATAAATCCACCAAGTTCACGAAGGGATAAATATACCAAAGTCATCTGTGTGTGTATATATCGCCATGTTATTCTCCTTCACTCATCTGTAGCTCTTCAGAGCCTAAATCCTGTTTGCATACCTTTGTATTAACAGAATCTTAATGATTAGATGGCCTTTGGTAGCTGCTCAGAAAATATTGGAGGAAGGTATCAATAATTATGTAAATAAACAAATGCATGCATGCATGAATGCAAGGCTTTTCATTTTAAATTGTTTCTTAGAGGCTTGGATTTTCAATGCTTATCTCACTTTTATATTTTAAGGAATTCTGGACTTTTCACTCATATAGTAAGTAAGTAATATGCCATTTTATAGAAAACAGAAATAAAAGGAAAATAATTTCATATAGTTTCACAATTTAAACACTCCTTTTGGGCACTTTAGAATATTTCTTTTCCACCTTTGGGCTAAAGAATGTTCCTTTCATGACTTACATAAAAATAATTTTCTATTTTGTGGTTTCACTTAATGGAAACATTTTATACCCTGTCCTTGGAATGATAATTCGATACCACAGATAAGATGTGCTGTGTGATATTTACTTAAAGATAATTCTGTTGTCACTTTAGAATTAGTCCACGTTTTCATCGTTGTAAGTGCTGCTGCACTAAAAAAGCTATGCATGTAAGATGTAGGCCTTCAGGGATAAGAACTCAGGCACAGGATCATTTTTCTCTGAAAACACACAGTCCTTCTAGTAGATCTCATCCTCAGTGTTTGAAACGATGGATAATGTACGATACCCAAATGGAGACTAAACCCTGACTACATCATTTAAAGGTAGAGATTATTTTATTTTACAAACCTTGTATCATAGAAAGGCTTTGCCTGGTCTTCTGCACTTGACACTTGTAGATGAAATAAGGGGTGAGGGGATAGAGGGAGGAAAAACAGAAAAGGAATAAAGGAAGATGGAAAAGGGAGAAAAAAAGAAAAACAAAAACCTAGATGTATCAGGAAAAATTTTTTAATAGCAAAGAAGAAATAAGCAGGAAAGAAATCATCAAGTCTAATCTTTTATACAAGCTTTGTCCTATCCCAAATATGCAAATCACTGCCACCATGAATAGCCTTTCAGACACCAGCTTAACAAGAAGTCCAAACCAGAAGATAACAAAACAGTCCACCCCACCATCCTGGCTGGTCGCTAATTCCTTGTCAGGGAGCAGAGATGCCCATGGTCTGATTACTCACTAGAATTTCAGCAACTTTCACTTTCCTCAGGGCTAAATTCACAAATTTGAAAGTGTAGTTAATGGCTGCATGGTGGGATGCTTTGACAAGACAAAGCACATTTAAATTAAATGAAAACTGTTCTTGGTTAATGAACTTTGCATTTACCTGAAGAACTGTGCCTAGAAATTCAGAGGGAAACAAAATATACATTTTGAAAAGATCTTGAAAGATGGCAAAATTCACACTAATTGGGGGGGGAGGACTGCCTGTGGTCGATACAAAATATTCTGTTAAAGTCTGTGTTATGTACACTCAATATTCAGAAAACCATCATGTTGTCTTTAGGATTTGGAAATGCCTGTCATTGTCCTTACTGAACTAAACAACTGATCCACTAAAAACACACTCTCTTTTCTTTCAGCAGTGATTCAACTATCAGAGCCACTGAATGAAAACTATTTACAGATAAAGGAAAAGTTACACGTTTTACCAGAACTGGGCATTTATTATAGGAAGTTCCTTATGAATCCATGCACAAGGAGAAGCTAATGGCTGCTCATATTTTCTACTGGCAGACTGTTCTCTTGCATGAATGAAGAAAAAGTAATTCCTGGTTAACTACAGTAAATATCGATATGCAAGTAGTGTTGCTCAGAATGGAGTTTTCCATGTTTGTTTGAAAACTTTTTATGCAGTTGTATTTGCATATCTTCTTATTTCACTGAACGTTAATAGGTTTCCTGTTATCAAAAATTACCGGAGTGTGAGATGCAGTATGCTACTGCAAGTTTCACTGCATTTGCTTGGTAAATAATGAGCTCTTTACATTTTTCTGTAGCCTTGTAATGGAGTGATACTGGGGGAAGCCGGAGAGCCAAGGGGCAGGATTCACTAGGATTTAGATTGCACAAGCGGTGTGGGGTGGTCTTGATCAGGAGACCAAGCCCCACCACAGAGAAGACTGTGTCTGAGTTAGCTGTGAGCCATGCTTTGAATGTTAACATTTGCTACCTCCTTTCATCCTTGGCAGTTTTCAAGGATACAGAAACACATGTGAAATACAACCTTCAGCAGAGTTAGCAACTGTGGCTCCAGGAAGAGCTGCCTACATATTGCATTATAGAGAAGAAAAATGCTTGACCTACTTGGATCCGATAAGATGGAGTCAGTTTTCGGCAGGAATTGGTCGCAACGGACTCCTTGGTAGCCTTCTTTGCACCTGAGGAGAAAGGACAAATGACATACATGCACATGTGGTTGTGAAAGATTCATTCCAAGATCTCACCAAGGAAAATAACCACCAATTACACACATGTGAGAACAGCATACTCATGTCTGTGTGTTATTTGGTGCAGTCTCTTTGACACCAACAGGCAGATTCTAGATTTTACTTCTGTGCAGACAGAGAGGGACAGAGACAGACAGAAATGTAGACACAGAGAGAGACAGTGAGAGAGAGGAGCACAGCTTAGCTTTTATAGTCACATATCAAACACCTAAGGAATAAATTCAATAGCATCTTAAGATGCCCCTCTTAAAATCTGACTAATGCTTTTCCTCATAGTATAATTCCAGAAGTAGGTGCACTTTATGCAGCACAGGGTCTCTAAAATATATTCAGAAACATTACATTGCAAAAGGCTATTTTTCTTATAAAAATCATTTTCCATCACAGCACAGTAGTTGTAGACTTTGGTTACTGCATCCTTCGTATTTTATTACTGAGCCTATTTGCTAATTTGGTGTCTTCGAATTTACTTCCCTGCTATTCTTCCGTCTGTGTCATCGAGCCACTTTGCCAGCGATTTCAGCATTTCAGCGAGCAGGGGCTCAGTGGAGCTCACATTTTTCTCTCGCTACTTTTCTTTTCACATTCAGCAAACGTGCAAAGAGCTGGCTTTCTGCCAGGCCTTTTACAGGGCAACCGTCCTGAGGCCAACAAAATTTGGAGGCAAGGAGTCTGCCCCGAGGTGGTACGTGCAATGAGGCTTGTCTCCCCACCATGCAGGCCCCAGCACCAGCCCTCGCTTTGGGTTGCTTGGCCAATTGGACAGCAGCAGCCCATGAACTGAACTCCCCATCCGGCCTTGAGCTGTCTCTAAGTGGGAAATGACATTTATGGGTCTGCTTAAAGCTTCGTCTGTCATGCTTGGGTTAAGCAGGGAAGTAACTATTGTCGCTCGTGGGATGAGTTTGTCCTACTTTCAGAGAGTGAAATTGTGCCACAGAAATAAAAATCAGATTTAAGAAAAAATCTTCTAGCTGTTATCAATATATGAAATTGACAAAACCAAATTCAGAGACTGCTGTGTTAGAGTACGCTTTGATTTCTCAGCGTAGTAAGCTATTAGATGAGGGTTCCTGCAACCAGAGCAGTAGTACTGAATGGTGCCAAGGTAATTTTTCCACCTTTCATTGGGAGCCAAATTGGAATTCAGGTAATCAGGCAGGTTCTCTTCGGTATCTTTTTAAGCCTGATACTCTGAACTACATTTGGCAATTTTCCTTGTAGGTTGAGAAAAACTCCCTTTGGTATATGCATATGCCAGGAAACTCCCAGAGTACTGAAAAATAACTGGTTTATGCAGACACATATTTTTGTAAACTTTGAAACAAATGTATTTATTGTACTTGAAACAAAGCAGTCTTATTCCTAGCTCTCTAATGCTAAAAGTCCCAAAATAGTACTGAAACACATTTGTGAGGAAAAAATAAATTCTGTTCTCTGAAAGCTTCCCTGATTTTATCATGCCCTTCTTTGAAATTACCTGGATCACATAACATTAATTGTCATTTTTCCATAGTCATGTGTTACATTCTGGGTATGGACTACTGTATGCATTTATTTTCAGAGATGTTATTTGCAACACGTGGGAAATTTTAAGAATTCTTTATTCTTTCTATCTTCATTTAATATGAAAATGGTATCCTCGGGACAGTAGCTTTTAAGGAGAAGTGCTTTTTTGTTTGTTTGTTTTGCTTTTTAAGGCTTCTTTGTTGCTTAAAATGCATTATTCCATTTGTGTGTAGAAAAGAAAATAAGGAAAGAGGTTTGAGACTTTGCCAGCGTGAACCTGATGTGCCGTAATTCTGGCCTCCCTTTGAAGTGCTGAGGTCTCATGAGCTGTCGGAAAAATCTCAGGGCGAGTACACTGCTGCGGTCTTCCTAGCCCTGGGCCCCAGGAAAGTAAGCGGGATGAGGCTGCCGCCACCTTGCACAGGCTGGGCAGCCCAGCAGGAACATGTGATTGGCTGTGCAGCAAATTCTGCCCCTTTGTGAAGGAGGCAGGAGGCACTGCTAATTGGTGCCAGGTTTGAAGAGCACCATATTAAAATTCCCATTTAAAAATCACACATATATCACCTTGATAAGTTCAGACTCATCCAAATGTGAAGATGGAATGTCACTAGCAGGCAAGGCCAATGAAGTGGAATGAATTTCAGACAATATTAAGGATAAGGTGCAAAGGGGAAAGAAGTCTTCAAATGTACTTCCGCCGCATAGATTGAGCCTAGCAGACCTTCTTACACGTGATAAGCATGCTTTAGAGAAATACTGCATTTCTTGTTTTTGTTTCAGTTAGTACAGAGGGTAGCAAGAGAGTTTGGAGGTGTTCTATTTGGAAAACACAATTATAATAACAAAACAAATGCATATATGAGAGTGATCTTTGTGTGCCCTTTAAAATATAAGTTTTATTAAAACACATGTGTAATTATTAATGGTAAACACATTTTTTTAAAGCACAAGTCTTGCCTTAAGCAGGTTCATAGTTAATCATTGTTTTACTCCATCTTCTTTTCAAAGCCCACTCAATCTGTCTGGTTTATTTATCCCTTAGAATCCTTGTACCACAGCAGCTATATTAAAAGTCACAATGCTCCCCAGTTGCTTCCAGGGACATTTGCTCCTGCAAAGCCATGGCCTCAGAGCACACAGTGTGCTCAGGACAGGAAATGCATCCAGGGTTGACAAAGGGTCGTGTCAAGAGCACAAAGCAAAGTCAGAATGCAAGAGGTGAGACATTTTACTTTGAAAAAGAAATTGCCTCAAATCCTAGGTGATTATTCTGAGGTGAAGGAGATCTTTCTTGCTCATGCTGTTGGGTTTTTGTTTCCCAGTTTATAAGGAATGGCATCATTAAGTTACAATACCCAAAGCAGACAAGAACACGTAAGAGTTTATAGGGAAAACTATGGTAAGGTTACTTGGAAATAAGAGAGATTTGTCCTTAGTAGTGGGGAAAAAAGGTAACAGGGGAAAGGGTTGCTGAGACCAACCTCAGTATGAAAGGGTCTGTCCCCTTCTGAGTGTAAGGGTCATGAGACTCCAGGGCTTCCATTCTGGGATAGAGAGTACTGTGCTGTCTCAGATGCCTGCGTCACCTTTCTGCTCCTTACTTCACTCTAACTTTGCCCACTCCGCGTCCCCCTACTCAGCTGACTGTGATGTAACAAGTACCCCCTTTTGTTATTTTTTCCTCCCACACTATCCCCAAGGAAAGGCCCAAGGGTAGGTTTCAGTGAAGACTTTCAAAAAGCAATCCTCAAGAAAAAAAACAAGAAAGGAATGATAAGAAAATGTGAAAATGCAAGACTCCTTGTCCTTAGCTGGGATTCAGTACTTGTTTTGCCTGGGGTGGCAAAGCAAGAGTAGGCCATGTTGTCATCTGGGCTGCCTGTGGAGGACCCCAAGGGAGTGACTCTCAAAATGACCAGGTCATAGGCTTGTGTGCCCTGGAAATCACTGTCCTGGAGCTGGCCAGTGATGACTGTGGCCACCAGGCCACACTCTTAACTTCAGACCATTTCCATCTCTTACTGTCAAGTCTCACGTGCCAGTGCCTGTGTGTGAGTCCAGAGCCTCAGTAATGACTGAGTTAGAACTGGTAACATCAGTGATGATTAGTGAAGGCTGAAGCACATCCACACACCCACAGCCTCACTGTACTACCTGATTATCCTTCAATTTCTCTCTCCTTGTGCCATGAGAAAAATAAAATGAAAGAAAAAGAGCACAGAATTGTTTCACTGAGTGAACTGAACTATCCTTTAGTTTCCTGGCCATTCATTCCATGGAAGGTGTTGTTGTTTTACTGCTATCTTCTCCTCTTCTTCTGTCTTTCTTCTCCAGAATTTAATTACTGACATGAGTAGGTCATCCAAAACATTTTTTTAACTATCTTTCTAATTTATATCATAATGATTAAAACATGTGTATATATTCTGACTTTTCCACTTAGTTCTTACTTTTTATTTAACATTAGCAGTACAGGAAATTGAACATAGGGCTTCCTACACGCTAGGAAATAGTGTCACCACTGAGCTACATGTCCATTCCATGTGTAAATTTAATTTTGAGGAAAGATCTTCCTAAATGGCCCAGGTTGCCTTGAATTTTCAATCCTCCTGCTTCCTAAATCATTGGGACTAGAGGTACGCACCACCATATATGACTTCTACTTAGGTTTTGTGTGGATGTACTTTAGATAAATTATTTAATATTGTTTTAAACTTTAAACTCAAATAAAATGAGCATGATATCAAGAAGAAAAATAATAAACCACAATTAGTTAATATGTATACTTCCATTTGGGTCATCTTTATACCTGGACCTTATGCCTTATATCTGCAAAGATGGATTTCAGATAATTTATAGAGCGAAATATGTGAGTAACTCAGATATACTCAAGTGTTTGCTTCGATCCCCGTGCAGTACTTGATCTTGGCAAAAATTCCGTAGGCAGTGTACATACCTCCTCCTTGGGGGCTTGATTTTAGGTGTAAATGAAGGAAATAGTGGCAGGTAAATTTTGTGGTTTCTTGACTATAGACATTTTTATTTTTAGAAGAAAATACAGCCATTCCTTTTTGAGGTTATAAGAGGATAGATGCTTCCTAAGTAATGTGTAAGCCCGCCAATTTCAATAGGCCTATGAGCCGCTGATTTGAAAGAGTAATACTCCCTCCCCGGGTTCTTTCCTATTTTTTTCCAGTCCCCCCAGCCTCAATGCCAGCTCTTAAGGAAGATGGAAAGACCATCAATTAAACTCAACTTTACAGAAGGAGAGTATGGCCTTTATACTATGGCCCGCTTTCAATCCCGGATCTTGTATTTACTAGCTTCTGAGTCTTCCTGTCGGTGTCTCCTTTCCTTCATCTGTATAAAGGAAACAATAACATTTGCTATCTTGTAGAGTCATAATTAAAAATAAATGA